CCCCCCTAATTACAAATCCCAAATGGTAAAACAACACCTTTTTATGGGAATGATTATTGCCACAAGTCAAATTGTTAGAACCACCAAATTTAGGACTTAAGTTCCATATTTAATTAGGTGAACAAGCCTGTATGTTCAAAGTGCAAGGGCTCTCGCTCTCTCCCTAAAAAATGAGAGTGTCTGCATCCTGAATGGGAGTCGCTGCTGGGTGTTCCCAGTCTCTGTTAGTCTCCTAACTTCAATCGTTTTTCCTCTCTTTCATTCTATATACTATCACTTCTTTCGTTGCCTTCCATATCATGTTTCTTTGTTGTCCCTTTTGGTATCAAAACCCCAAACATAGATTCTGTGTTGTTCTTTTTTCAACCTTCATCATAAACCCTAGAATTCCAATCTTATGCCTTGAGCCCCTGATTATAGCAGTTTGCAGTGGGATCTGGGTTCTAAATCAAATCAGAGATCATCTCAGAACCTTTCCCCAAAAGAGTATCTTCATCCCTAAGACTTTGATTGGGGTCAATTGACATTTGATTGAAGTTATTTGAAGCTTCATTTCAAGTCCATAATCCTTCCAACTAATATTGGCCTATCGGAAAAGTATAAATCTCGGACTTAGCCTAGGTGTCCTTCACTTGGAAATTTGGGCAGCTGAAAAAGCTGGATTGTGTAAAGGGATATTGATGATGTGGATTTATTCCTTGGTGTTCCAGGTTCTTTTTCCCTCTATTTACCTGTTTCTGCAGATGTTTGTGTGGTTTCAATTTCATAGAGGGAAATCATTTCTGAAGAGTTATTTATCAATTAACCATGGGTTAGTAGCAATCAGGATATTATTTCATGAGCCTGGGGTAATTTCCTTGAGTTATGCTGTTAGAATTGTTAGTATTTTGTCTAAGATGCTGTTGGGAATATTTCTATTCATTGAGAAAATGTGTTTTTGTGATTTTGGACATTGTTTCTTCATATACAAAGTATGGATGCAAATGAATTTGTATGATCCTTTAGGGGCAGATGTATGTAGGAGAACTTTGTCTTGTTTTGGATTCTCAATCCCGGTAGCTGTTATACTTATGACTAGCTAGATTGGGAAGATTGTTTTGAACGGCTACAATGATGATTATGGATCCCTGGAGGATGGTTTAAAATATGAGATTGGCTATTTTGCAAAGAATTTTTCAATAAAAATTTCTAATCATGGAGTTTCAAAATGAGTTACCTAGCCCTTCCTTTGCTACTAATAGAAAACTCAGGGTTAAAATCATAAATTTTCGATGCAATGTTTTCTCATACAACTAAGTAAATGAAAAAACTCTAAATCACATAAAAATTAGTTGTTAACTCCATAGATTAGGCATACATTGTTCAAATGGTAATAATAGAGCAAACATCTTAAATGAAACTAGTGGATTGCAACCGCAATTTAACATGTATATGTGGAGTAATGTTTCTCCCACACACAAAACACACAAGGTGAAAGAAAAGTTTTGTTACGTCTTGCTAAACTACAATTGCAAAACAAATGTATTGTCAATTCGCCATCCTTGCTACCTTCATTGAAGAAGTCAACTAACCCTACCTTCATCCTTCCCTCTCTTGTGGGTGATTCTCACCACCATCTCTTAGAATTCTTCTTGCCTGCAAATATATAGTTCTTGAAAACCTCCCTTATTAAAGTCCTTGACTACATTTTGCAAACCATTCCCCACTAGATGTAGTTCGTTTGTCTCTTCTAGCAACTTGCAAACTGAATGCTCTGAGCTAACTATTTCATTAGCATTAGCTTCAATATTTTTAAACTTCCACAACCTGTAGTTCCATGTGTCTCCTATGAAAATCATGTATCTTAGCAAATTTTCAGATGCTAGAAATCATCTGGGTATTGCAGATATTAATTCATATCTCCACTAACTCACATAACATCGGATAATTAGGAGATAGTTACCAAATATACAGATATGACAGTTCACATGGCGTCCATCTGGGTGGTTTATCATTCTCGGGATCATAACAGCAACATATCTGATGTAGCATAATAGTAACCACTTGTTCAAATAATGTTACATGTGGTATCATCAAACAACTTTGCAATTTAAGGTGTAAACACATTGATGGAAGCGAAATCTTATTGTTTGTTTACTGCTGACTGGCCTGATCTCTATGCCTTGAATAATGAGACCACCGTTCCAGAGACCAGCCAACTGCAAAATACTCATTTACATTTCATCGTCTTTGCCTCCAGTACCTCTGTCTCCATTCTCTGCCTCTATTCAAAAACACAGTTTGTTTATGACCTTAAGTTCCAACAAGTCCAACATTCACCTATACAGGCTGGTACCCGAATCCATAAGCTGTGTTTGTTGCCTTGAACACAAGGTAAGCCTTATAATGCGTCAGATAAGGGATTTTTTGCCACTTTCAAAGAGTTTAGGGGGTTGTATACTACTGATTTAGGTTGAGGGGCTAATTTGTGTCCTCTTTCTAGAATCCCTATGTTAGAAGGTTTTAAGTCAAAATATTGAAAGACATAACTCATGAGCACGATTTTCTTGTTGTCTTTTCATTTAGTCAAAATATTGAAAGATATAACTCATGAGCACTATTTTCTTGTTGTCTTTTCATTTACTTATACTCCGCATTTCATTAATTTTTCCTAGGATGCCGTTAAGCTCACATATTTTATCGTTATATTTATCTATCTACCTATATTTGTCCTCACTTTCTTTCTCTTTCTGTATATATAAATTAACAATTTGTTTGTTGTTATTTCTTCTCCCCTTATCCTCCCACTTGTTAATTTTTCTTGTGACACCATCTTTTAATTTACCTCTCACCTTTGCTCACTCTAAACTATATTTGACCTTTCCATTTCTATATTAATAATTTGCTTGTTTTATTATTTCTCTTTATCCTCCCGTAATATT